ATGGTGCCCCGCGGGCAGGCCCCCCGCCGGGCTCCCCGTCCCCAGGCTGTGGGGATGCTCAGCCTCCTCGGTGGCCGGGTAGCGCAGGGTCTCATCGCTCAGCGAGGCGGCGCTGGAGAAGTTGACGGGGGTCCCGTCAGCCGAGTCGGTGAAGGAGTCGTCATCCTTGAAGAGGTCGCGGGTGGTGGCACGCAGGTGTTTGGGGACACCAGGGTGTGTGTGGGCTGGCACCAGCATATAGACAGGGACGTGCACCGGCTTCTTCGTCTGGGGGTGCAGGACCTGGCCGGAGAGCAGGGAGGTCTTCACCTTGCGGAAGCGGGAGGGCATGGCAGAGCTGATGCATTCCTTCAGGATCTCGATGTCATCATCAGAGGGGGGCTCGGGGTGGTCAACCCGGCGCCGGCCCTCCAGGTACCGCTCCTCCCGCCGCTCCTCCCGCTTCTCGTGAGCCGCGAAATTCAGGCTGTTCTTCTCCGGGAACGTGGGCATCAGCTTGAGCTCCACGTCCTTCTGGACATAGTGCTCGTGGAGGGGCAGGGCACTCAGGCTGGAGGCACAGGAGAAGTTCTCGTTGGGTTTCTCCACTGTGAAGTAGACCATGGAGTCCAAGTCCTGGGGCAGCTGGAAGCGTTCCTTGAAGTCAGTGATCTCCATGAACTTCTTGACGTTATTCTCCCACTGGATGTTGAACTGGCTGGTCTCCTTCTCTGGTTGGCAGCCCAGCTCAAAGAGGGGTGTCTTGCTGCGGCTGGGTGGCATGGTCTGCCCAGGGCTGTCGGGCAACTCGCTGGGACTGATGGTGCCACTAATCATCTCGCTGCAAGGGTCACTCTGGATGGAGCTGGCGATGGAGGGGCTCTCGAAGCTGCCCAGGGAGCTGACGGAGCTGCAGCGGCTCATCACCAGCGGCGTCTCCTGGATGTAGTTCTCTGAGGAGCTTGAGGGTGTGAGGTCCTCCTGGCGTGATGGTGATGACTCCCGCAGAAAGACCTTGTCACGCTTCGGGAAGGGGATGGAAAAACCCACCGGGGTGGTCGGACCCAGATCTGCCACCTTCTCCTTCTCCTGTCTCCCATCCTCATCTTCCCCATCTCCTTCTTCCATCTCCAGGATCTCCAGGGATGAGTCACTGTCCAGGTCATTCTCACTGTGGCTCTGCCCGTCCAGCACGTTGTCAGCTGAGGAGAGGGAGGAGAGGGAGCTGCACCGGGAAAAGCAGATCGGGGTGTCCTCCACCGAGTACTTCTGCACCGATTCCTGCTCCGCCGTGGCCGGTGGGTGGGCCGGCAGCTTCTCCGGGATCTTGCTGAGAGTCTCGGCCGTCTGCAGCAGTTTTGGGGGCAGCCAGGCCTGTTTTCTGCCCAGGAGCGAGGGGTGGTGGCCGGCACCAGTGGCTGCACCGCTCTTGGCCAAGCTCTCAAGCAGGGGGACGTGCTGGTAGGACGGGGAGAGCTTGATGGTGCGGACCTGGGGATCAGAGGAGAGCTTGCTGCCCTCCTCCTTCTTCCACTCAGGCTCCTTCTCCAGCGCCTTGGGGCTGGGGAAAGTCACCGTCTTCTTGGCCCGTTCGGGCAGGTCTCGCTGCTCCGGCTTCTCCGGCTCGGCCGGGTCCCTGCCCTTGAGCACGGGGGGTTC